CCCCAAAACCCCAAAACCCCAAAACCCCAAAACCCCTTCTGAAGGAATACTTTTTGAAAATTTTAGGAGGTGGATAATTGGTCATTTTGTTTGGTAGTCGATCTAGACTCCTGCAAGACTACTAAAGAGTCATCTGTCGGATCAATTAATTTATAACGCTCATTTGGCTTCTTTGGCGATGAAAATTTTGGAAACTTGCTTTGAGATTCTGGAAGATTTTCAGGAGAAACTCTTCGAGATCGAGAAGAAACTGAATTAGCTATATCACTCAGGTTTATCTGCTGGGTCTGGTCCAGGCTTTCTCTTAAAGATTTATTCATAAAGTAGCTTGACTCATACTCAATGTTAGAAATCTGAGGGTCGTGGATGGAATCTTCATATCTAATTTTATCATAGTTTATAACGTATTGTGGTATTTTAGCCTCCTCCTTTGGCTGAGAATTTTCTATTTTAGTATGCTCAATTTGGCTCTTTTCAGAAGGGATTCTGTACTGATTGGCCACTCTGATCGGATTAAAGCTAAACTGGGAGGACCCAAACTGGTTATTATATCTCTTAGCGTCCAATGTAGGAGTTTTGCTCATGTCTCTAATACCTAACTTATGCTGAGAATTGTCCTTTCGATTAAGTATATACCGGACTGCATCCTTCTTATTTGAAGACCTTCTTGACCGTGAGGTTCTTACCATTTGAGGACTTTCTTTTCCCCAGATTAGTTTCCTGGTACAGATCAATCTCTTCCGAAACTTGGAGAATTTTCACTTCTTTTGGAGACTAGAACAGTCATGATTTGGTACTTTACTTTCTTTCTGATTGGAGAATTCTTGGAAGCATTTCACTGGAGGTAACTTCCCTCACTAGGCATGTTCAACAAGTCCTCGATCGTGGCCGAGTTCTGAATCATGTTCGTCAGGTTCAGCTTGGCCTCTACCATACTAGCAAATCCGGTTTGAGACACCTGACTTGTGTCGTGCTTATTTGTTAAAAGGAGACTCGAAAGATGCCTTATAGTTGTGCTCTTTTTGGAGTCGTGGAATCTTTCTTGGAGTATTCTGTTTACTCTTTACCTTATTTTGTTACAACTGTAGGCGGGAATATAGAATTCGATGAGACCTTCATCTTAGGTTTTACATCTTTTGAGCTAGGCATTTTGTGTGGCCTACTTTGAAACTGAGATTTTAAACTCTTTGGTAAACCTGCATAGAGAGGATCTATGATCAATTTTGCATAAAACCTACTTGTTTCTAGTTTGTTAGATCTAGAATTCCTCTTATAAGCCACTTGGGTTTTGACCTCACTGATTGGTTTACCCTTCTTATTAGCATCGATTTTCTTTGAAGAAGAGTTAGTCTTTGTGAGGAAATTAACAATTCGACTCGGAGTTGAAGTGCCTGACCCTAGACCTTTGAAGGAGTTGTTGCTTCTCAGTGTTATTTTAGTCAAGGTTTTCTTCCTCTTACCACTTTTACTATGAGAAATACTACCTCTGGGGGACTTCTTAACCTTCCGGCTATTTTTACCATCTAATAAAATTAATCAAAATAGTTTTGCAATACGTACTAGATATTTTTGGAAAACAGACTTGTGAGCCAATATGCTGCATTAAGAGAGGTGGCAGCAAGATGTTCTTATCCTGCTTCTTCTCATTCGACTTGCCTCTCTTCTTAAGGTAAATAAAGCTCTTTTTCCTGCTTGTAGGACCTCTCGAGCCTGAGCCTGATTTGGATTTTCCTTCTTGATTGCCATTAATGAACTTATTTAGAAATTGCTCGGGAGATCACGATCTGAGGAACTTGGCCAACCGAGAGTTTTTTGAGGGTCTTCTTCCTTAGTTTTTTGATACCACTTTTTGGAGGACTCAAATCCATTTTATTTACTTTCAATTATTAATGGGAACATGGGGTTTTGGGGTTTTGGGGTTTTGGGGTTTTGGGG